GTTCAAGATTTTCTTAGAAGCTACATTTCTAACCCCCTAGTCTGAATTTTGACTGGAACACCCCTAAAAGTAAGAATTATGAGTTTGATAGTTGGGGAAGACAACCGTACCCCACTTCCACATTGAAGATGGCTACTACTCTCTTCAGCAGTAGTAAAAAACATTCTTACTTTGGCAGTTTCTGTCGCTTATTTACAGTAGCAGCCATTCAAAATGGCCCTTCCCAGCCAAATGCCTGCCCACTTCGCTGCACCTCACAGCAATATCCCCTCCAACTTCCAGCCACTGGAGTGACCCCCTCTTGCATATTTTTTACTTTGACTCAACTTTCACCAAATTGCAGGGTGTTGCCAGGAGATCATGCTTTCTTTTTAGATCTTAATGTCCACAAATCATGACAGAAAGAATATTTTAGTACAAAGATTAATGTTTAGAAAGGAATTGCAGGGGACCAGCCAAGGATAATTTTAGATAAATCTGGACACTTAATTTCTGAGAAAAGTAATCCTTTATACATTTAAATCAACCAGTTCTCACCCAAATTGCTCATCAGTCATGTTGCAGTATTGTGGTTTAAGAAGGACCATGTAGCTTTGAAGAAAAGTCAAACCCACTACCAAACCAAAATAAACATGGCAGCGCCGGAGGACATACGTGTTTCGTCAGAATCCACAACTTTATCTTTCAATGTTGAAGAACAAGAGTGTTCGGATGGTTTCTGCTGCTTTATCATTTTTAATTGTGATTGGCTAGCATCAAACTTTGGTAGACAGACACTAGGTGTCACTTTGCTTCAAAAACTGAAAAGTTTCCGCTTAATTGCCCTTCTTTCCCTGAACTGATTTGATGGAAGCTGTTCCAACTTTTTAATGTGCAGAATTCAACCTGATTGCTTCTACAGTATATTTAGATCTCCAAAATTAGAATGTGCCTCATGCAAGAACCATTCATAAAAACAATTTGTTCTTAAAGCTGTCTTATGAAAGATTTTTAAGAGAATATGTCACTTTCAATGTTTTTCCCTGATTTCAGACTTCAGACTTGACCTCTTGGGCAATCAGTCAGCTGTTAACCAAACTTAGTTTTTCACTAAAAAACTACAGCAATTGTCCATTTTATTTGGCTACATGTTTATATTTTTATGCAACTCTGCAATTATAAATTGAAATTTAATTCACTGATGACAAAGCTACAGGTATCAGTCACTGCACCTGCAGCTGGGATGTCGGTATCCAAGGGACGTTGCTTTAATTTTTTTGACATTCAGTCAAAAGAAAGGTCAGTCAGAGATCAAGCTACTATCGAAATAACATCTGGAACAGAAAACGTATGGAAAGTTCTTAAGAAATCCTCTAACGGTGAGACTTGCATTGATTTCATCGTAGTTTCTTGGCTTTTATTTTACACTAGATGTGGAATATTTGTGTTTGGGTCTGTCTGACTTTGTTAAATTATAGTTTTACGGTCAACATTTTATATAATGCTTATACATGCGAGAGAGATGGTGAGTGCATAGAAGGGTAGAAGAAGTGATTTGGAGAAATACAGCACAGGTGTGTCGGTATACTATAAAGGGATTTAGCAGAATGTTGTCGTGTTGGTTAATCTCTAACTTATATTAAGCATTTACATAATATGTAGCACCTCTTGCCCCCATCAGTAGTTTTTTATTGAATGTTTTTGGATCAAATTATTTTTATATTGTTTTTATACCTTTTTTTTTTACTTTTGTAACAGTGTAACCACGTCATGTACAGCCCTTGTTATTTATTTCTCACTGTTTGGCTTTTTAGAGATCCTTTGATTATTGTGCTCAGTTTTTCAGTCAGCAGACCTCGATTCGCAAACCTTTAAAGATTTTTTTCTTCATCCTCAGTGCCATTTCTATGAAAGAACACCTGCGTGTTCACAGAGATGTGGGAACATGCGGGGTGGTTATTATACAGCTTTCTGTTTCTCACAGGGGGAGTGCATCACGTTTACGAAAATCATTTACTTAAGTTAAGAATGTTTTTTGAATCTGACATGTATTGTTCGTAAATTGAAGTCAGAGAACAAGTACGAAAAGTTTACAACAAGAATACAAAAATTTTGTTGCATGAGGCTCAATGAGTCAATAAATGAAAAAAAGTTCTGAATATTTGGTTGTTTTAGCCAAAGATTTAATTTGCAGGCAGTTGTAGAGATGGATATTGGGTCATCCAAATGCAACTTACTTTGCTGGTCTCTTCATTTAGCTACTGAGGGAAGCTCTCTGGCTTTTTTGCTCTGGCAACAGAAACTCACTTAAAGAGAGGTGCTAAGAGGCCCCGGAGGGGTCGGAAACACATGCAGAGAGAAGCCACACTTATTTGCCAGATGCACCAAAAAGAGGTACAAAACCTCATAAAATCTTATTTGCATGCAGCAGAAGAGGTGCACTCTTGCAAAGATGCTAAAAACAGACACATGCTTCTACCTCTTACTCTCCACTTCACAGCAAAACCTGTCAGCCTATAAGTGGTGGAAGAGACAGGGTCAGGGAGGCTGGGAGTCAAGATGGGCCCGATTAATTAGGCAATTTTCTTTCTCTTGAGACGATGATAACGACTGATGCAGCAGCCCTTGGCCACAGCGGGCAGGTTTGGAGAAGCAGTCGAGGAGAGATGGAATGGTTGGTGGGTGGAGGTTTGGTTTCACAGGTTAAGAAGTCCTTAAATACTCCGGTTTTTAAACCCAACGTACTCAGATAAAAACTTGAACTAACCAAATGCCGTTTTGAAAGGATAAAGGTGTCACATACTGCTTTGTGAGTTTTGCTGTGGCCCATGATAAACAGCATAATGTTACATTTGTGCAGACATTCTGCATAGGGCTAAATGAAATGGGCTCTTAATTAATGTTTACATAAAATCATTGTGCTTGTTATGGAGAGTGCTATAGCTGCACAAAGTTAATAGTGTTTGATAATATAACCCCAAAAAGTGTTAGGATAATACCCATAGTCTGGACTTTCCAATATTTGACACTTAGGAAGATGTTGATGTAAACTGGCCAAGAGCCCAGGGAAAAATGCTACTATTTCATGACAAGTGACACACCTCCTCCTCCCCCACCTTGGCTTCAATTTGTCCTGACTCAACACTTTCTAGACCACCATTAACCACAGTCGGCATGTCAGAGCGTGGTGTGGGAGCAAGATAAGCAGATATTAGCTGGGCTCCCCATCAGCAGAATGCCCCCCGGGAGGAGTAGGAGAAGGGGAACTGCTGGGTGTGAGGCTTGGCTGGGCATGAGTGGGCAGTGAAGGGCATGAGATGGCAAGGACAGCTGATGCCATTTCCCATTGAGGTTGGGGTTGCATGTCATAGTGAGGCTGTACTGATCTGGTTTCAAAAATACATTACATTGGAGTTGAGTTCTTACTAAATGTAATCAAAGTAGGATTGATTTCAATTAAGTTTATCTATAATGCACCAATTCCAATGCCATAATGACACAACAATAGGCCCGTGAGCAACATTATCTGGGTGAGCCCCATATGAAGTACAACACCCCACACCTACCCGCCCCCCCCGCCGCTGCCGTAGACAACCAACCCGAAATGTGCCCCATACATACACACTTCATCATTTCATCATTTTTCACCTTTACTAGACATGAATATACTTTAGTATAGTCTGCTGTAAACTGAGTCTTATCGGGCTACCTTAAGTTTTACAGCTCCCCTCCTCACCCACACTCTCTCCATTCATCTCCTGGTTGCAATCTTTACTCACTGTGGCAGCAGCAATGTCCGCCTCTCCTTCTTTGGTTCTTTGGAAAAATATGTTTATTTTGGGAAGCTTTTTCCGTTCTTCCATTAGCTCTTCTTTCCTTTTTTTTTCTTTTCTGGAATCTGCTTAAGTACCTCATTTTGGTATCCATCGTCTCTAACACATTGTACATGACGGTTATGGTTTTAATCTACGCTCTGGATTACCCATAATTTCAAGTCGTACTGTAAAAAATAAAACACTCAAATACATTGTTCTTTTAAGATCTTTATTGCGGTTTGAAACATATTATATGAGTGTATTTTTTACCAACCGTCTTATGAACTATACACAGTTATTAACATAGTAATTAAAAGTACCACTGTTTGCTTTGCTATTGGTGTCGTGTTTAAACGGCTCACCATACTGTTGAAATCTGCCATGTGTTGCGGTATAAATAACGTCAGGTCAGTCAACCTAGTATCAGGTGGGTTTAAGAGACGTCCTAGTCCACAATTGCATAGGGGGCCAACCAGATGTCAGTGACTGGGCCCCTAAGAGGTCGGGGTCCTCAAAGCAATTGCAGTCTCTGCTTACCGATAGTTACGCCATTGACCAAATTACAACACATGTCATCTCAAGGTACTTTACAGAGCCATTTCAACCAGATCATACAGTCAGATTGGTTCAAAGTTTTCTATCTAAGAAAAACCAGCTGATTGCATTGACTCATTGACTCAAAAGCAATCCCTCACACCACGCAATCTTGTAGCGACAGTGGTGAGGAAAACACTCCAGGAAGAACAGGACGAAAGCTCATTACAAAAAAATTAAAAAACAATCCACTGGAATTTTTTTCCAAATTTGAAGACATTTCGCTTCCCATCCAGGAAGCTTTTTTAATTCCAAATGTCCGAAATAGTGTTGAGTTCGTGGCGTTATAGAGTGGACCAAAAAACAAAGCTTTGTTTTGGCTCAGAAGACATGCAAATTGAACTTGATGAGCAGGTCTTCCCTTTGGAATGGGGGTGGTTTGGTTTCTTTCAGGTATTAGCCTGTAATACCCGATACCGGCCTTTTCTCTGAAAGGGGGGTCATTAAAGGGAATTGTTGGCCTGGATAAACAGGCGAGGTGTTCTATTCCACTGTAAGGGGGTGGGGGTTTCTACGATAGTGGGAAGGAATCAGCTCAATCGCTTAATTGTAGATTTTTGAAATCTGAGTCTACCCCCTCTGTTTAAAGTTGTTTTTTCTTTCTTAACATAGATGGCTTCCTGCACGTCCCTCTCAAACCACCTATCTTCTTAAGGAAGAAAGGTCCAGCAGAACCAGGATCAGTGTGACCGACTATCTGCTTGAAGCTAACTGGGGTTCGAGGAGACAGAAGTAGACATACAGAAAGAAGCAGAGACACAAAAGGTAACTGTTAACCAGCTACACAGGTGGTCTCGTCCAGGAATCACACAGTCAGGCAGACAAACAAAGGTGTTGACAGCAGCAGCACAGCTTATATCTCTCTCCAGGATGGTGTCACAGCCAAACAGGAACAGACCAGATGAAGCTACTATGATGAGAAAAAGTAGAAAGAGTATAACGTTAGATATTGAGCTAACAAATCCCACAGGATGGGAGAATATAGAATGAAGCAGAGTGATGAAAAAGGGTCCCCATGTCCTCTTGCAGTCTAAGCCTATAGCAGCTTAACTAGAAGTCACTCTAACTAGAAGCTTTATCAAAAAGTGACTCAAAGTGATTATTTTGATTTGTAGATATGTTATACTCCCAAAGGAAAGGAAAATCTTAAATAATGATTGATCTCTAAGATGTTTCATGTATTTCTCCTAGACAACGATGAGATATGAGTGACACCAAAATGAGAGTAGGGTATATTTCTCCTGTGTCTCTTTTTTTTCCCACTGGAACAATAAGATATACTGAAGCTCGATTAAGTCTCAAGTTTCAGGATAGATCTCAAAAAGTTTAAATATGATTCTTAGACTTACCCAACATTTGTTTCTCCTTCTGATCTCAGGCGGAGAAATCAGAGAGCTCTCAACATGAACTAAATCTAGTCTCATCATAGTTTTAGTTCATGCTCTGACAGAGCAAAGGAGAGGCTCTCCACAAGCACTCCTTTCATGGTGAAGACAAGATCTCAACAAGCTCTAACATCATTCTCAGTGTCTCTTTGTGACCTGAGAAAGGAAAATCAGAGGGCTCGCTCTATGAACTCAGTCTACTCTCATCACAGCTTTGGAAAGCATTAAACACAACATTCCTAGAACTGACTCCACATTCAAAACAGTATGAGACTCTTAGATATATAGAGAAGAATTAGATGTTTTGTAAAACAAATGTCAGTAGGCAAATCACCTGATGAATATGTTTTGACTTCCAATTTTTATAATTAATCTTGGGATACCTAAACAAATTGTTATTCAAAGCTTTAAAAGAATGTATTGAAAAATATTATTTCATGCCAAATATAAAACAAGGATTCATGACATTATTACTCAAAATCAGGAAAAGAAAAGATATATCGATAATCTGAGGCCAAAAACTTTATTGAACGTAGATTACAAATGATTCACCCTTATCTTCTCAAATCGACGGAAATATGATTTGAAATAGATCATGCATGAAACCTAATCAGGATTCATAAAGGATTGGTCTATACACAACAATATTAGGTTGGCTCTTGACTTAATATACTATAATTTGTTTATTGAATATATAAACGTCTGACTATATAGAGCATTCATTTTGGCTTGCCATGATGGTGTGTGAGTGGCAGGGGATTTGAGTGGGTGATCTTGTTTTCAATACATTGTGGGGACCTTTAAGGGAAAATGGCAAGTTGTGGGGTCCGACTGCTCTTTGTGAGGCCCAATGCCTGTACCCCAGGCAGGGAATTGCTGTTTTTGGGTCTGTGGTCACGTTTAGGAATTGACTTTAGATTGGAGTTAGGGTTAGATATGAACCCGTAATGGTTAGGCGTTAGACACTCTCTCGATGATCCCCCCACCCAGTCCAACGACTAGGGCAGTTGGTTAGAGGATCACAGGCATTGCACAGGCCGGCGCACGTTTGTTGGTATCTCTCAGATCCATAGCCAATCCAGCTTGGAGAATTAGGGTTAGGTTTAGAGTTAGGGTCAGGGCTAGGTTTAGGGTCAGGGCAACAGTCAGGGTTAGGGTTAGGCCAACTGTCAGGGTTAGGGTTAGGCCAACAGTCAGGGTTAAGTTTAGGGTACCGGTCAGGCTTAGGTTTAGGGAACCGTTCAGGTTTAGGGTCAGGGCAAAGGATAGGTTTTAGGGTTAGGGTAATGGTTAGGGTTAGGATAAGGGTCACAGTTAGGCTGTAGAAATTAATTGAAGTCAATGGAAAGGTTCCGCAAAGCTAATGAGACACGTATTTGTGCGTATGGTTGAATAGGTTTTAATGTGTTTTGCAATTTTTGCATGTTATCTTATTTCTCCTTGTGAATTTTACGTGAAACATTTGAGACAAAATAAAAACTAAAATTAGACTGAGTTTAAAAACTCAGATATGTCTCATGAGCTATGCGAGAGCAAACATTGATGGGTGAAATTTTCCACTGGGCTGTTTTAACTTTATATAACTTAACTTAATATAAGATGCTAAGATAGATCTATGTCTTAACAACCGAAAAAATGGGCATCATCTTCATCTAGCATATAAAGATCCCTCAGAGAAAAAGCTAGAAAAAGATACTACCAAATTGAACTAATTGGTCTATCCATTCCATCATCCCATCCAGACCAATCCTGTAGCATAAATTGTGACAGAGGTTTACCTTCCAACAGAATGGCTCTAAGCCATAAGCAAGAACATAAAGGAATAGTACACCCAAAACATGATTAGCCTTCATTTTCTACTCACCCCCATGCTGAACAACACTCTGGAGTACTTTTTTGATATCTCAAATGCATCTGGAGATCTGGGAGGCTTCTTGTTGTCTGCTGACATTTAAATAATGGAGGTCTATGGTGCCAGAGGCAGAAAGGTCCATAAAAGTCCACAAAAAACGTGTCAATATTCCTCCATACTGCTCGTCCAATGTATTCCAAGTGTCCTGAGTGGGTAGCATCCAGAATTTACTCGAAACGAAGTCATTTAGAATGTTTTTAGAGCATAAACAGTAGTGTATAGGATTTCCTGAAAGAGCGCGCCTGCGAGTTCACGACGCTACGGAAACCGCGGCAGACCAAACCAGACGAAAGTGCGCATTCAGCTTGGCAAAGAACTCATGCTCTTCCTCAACACTGAAGTCCTCAGACATTTTTCTTTCGTTGTTTCTTTCTTTGCACAGGTAAACAGCACATTTCTTCTTCTACTCTTGTATTATCGGCAGAGCAGACGCTAAATTGCGCACTTTCATCTGGTTTGAACTGCCGGCTTCCGTGAACGCTCAGGTGCGCGCTTTCAGGAAATCCTATACACTACTGTTTATGCTCCAAAAACATTCTAAATGACTTCGTTTCGAGTAAATTCTGGATGCTACCCACTCAGGACACTTGGAATACATTGGACGAGCAGTATGGAGGAATATTGACACGTTTTTTGTGGACTTTTATGGACCTTTCTGCCTCGGGCACCATAGACCTCCATTATTTGAATGTCAGCAGACAGCAAGAAGCCTCCCAGATTCTCCAGATGCATTTGAGATATCAAAAAAGTACTCCAGAGTGTTGTTCAGCATGGGGGTGAGTAGAAAATGAAGGCTAATCATGTTTTGGGTGTACTATTCCTTTAAATGAATTGGTTCCCAAAGTCCCTTCATGTGTTCAAATGGCCTAGTCAAAGGTCTGACCTAAATCTATTCCAGATTATTTAGGAATAACTGATAGCTGATTTTTGTAAATACTTTGTAAACATTTTAATTGAACTTGAGGTAACTTGCAATGAAGAATGAGAATGGGTTGAAATATCTCTATGCAATATGCAATAATATGCAAAGATGATAGAGAAATACCCTGAAAACACTTTTTGGATTGAAATAACACAATTGTTATTTAGCATCATTTTTCCTCCGCTGTAAGGAAATGCATTATTACTATCAAATGTGTGTTTTTCTCTATAAGAAAATACAGTTGAAGTTATTGGTTTCAATGTGGTAAATGTTGGAAATGTTTAAGTGGTCTGACTGCTACAATAAGGCACTAAAGGTAAAAAGTTTACTGCTGGTTTGCACTATACAACCTCCAAATCCAGATTTGTAAGTTTTAAGGTCTTTTGAAGCAATTTGTTTGAAAATAAGAGCTCAAGCAGAACAAACACTTTTTGCCGCAGTAGATTTATTGCTCTGGCCAAAGTCAGCACTGCAGGATTAAATAAGTTTGGAGCTGCGGTCAGCTCTCTGGAAACCAAGCTGTTCTGCACCTCCTTCATTGCTCTCTTCCTACATATTTTCCTCCGTCTTACTTAATGGTTAGATTTCAAACCAAAAAATAAAAAAATAAATAATCTCAAACAGGACAGCTAAATATTCTACTAGCATGTTGACTCATCAGCACACCAGCCACACAAATAAATAAACACACTGACTCATGGATATGCACACATCAAATAACTGCTGGAGTACAAATAAGGGGAAGTACACACTGCAGGAATGGAACACTGTCACAAAGAATCCATTCATTTAAATCAGGGCTGTACCCACATACGTCCAAACACTGCACTTTTAATAGACCTCTGCCTCTTTACGGCTCTCCGCATCTTAAACCCATCAATCCGCCGCTCTGCTCCTCTTCCTTCTCTCTGTGTTTCTCCGCCATATCTGATCGGAGCAGTGATGCAGCCTCCCTCCATCCTTCTCATCCAGCCCCTCTGTTTTTGCCCACTAAATCGCCTTTCTTTCACTACCAACTCTGTCATTCTCTTTCATTTTACCACTTTTTTGGGGGGGGGTTTGCTCCCTTCTTATTTCGTTCATTTCTTCATTCTTTTCCTGTGCTGAGAAGGCTTGAGCCAGTGCAGGGGCAGTGCATGTGAAGAGGGATTAGATAAAGGAGAAAAAGTGAGAGAGGCTGAGCTGAAAGTGAGTCAGAGAAAGAAGCCAAGGACAGCAAACAAAAAGAGACGGATCGACTTGGAGGCTATAAATGAGCTTTAGGGAGGGATGGATTGAACAGATTCTGCGCGACCCATTGAGCAGCATAGATATCAACTTGTAGCAGATCAAATTTCTACATCTATTTATCTGTTTCAATAAACAACTCAAACTTTCACTAATGATGTGTGATGATTATTAAAGCAGGCTTGCAGTACTTCAAAAAAACTCTCCCACAATATTGATAGAATTAAAAATCACTTTATATAGCCGCTGAGATGTTGTTTTTCTGTCAGTCAATAAAGCATAAGCACAAAGGATAAAGTGAAAGCGAAGGACATAATAC